CAGGGTTGATAAGTTCTGTTCGAAAAAGTTGATAGCAGAAGGAGGTGCTGGATCTCGTTAACTAGTATTCGCAGTTCCGTTAGTTTGTCAGGCCAAGCCTATCCGTGCTGACGGGGGCAGGGAGCTAATCCTCGCCGATAACCTGATAGCGGAATCCAACCGATTTTACTGTACGGTCGTCAATTTTGAGCCGATTTTCGTACCTCAGCTTACCATGATTATTGCAGGAACAATAAGTCCCTTCACAGGGAGGCGAATAGCAATATATGTCTCCCCTCGCAAAAGAGATGTGGCTTTTGCCAACCCGTGGGATGGTCTTGGTCATATCTGCCCTCCGGCGGGGCAGATCTGCTACAAGTTGCACTTGTCGCAGGCTCGCGGGGGTTCGGTCTGTAGGGCTGATGAGGGCAACAACTGATAGGCTACCATGATCTCGCCATGCGCCGATAGTAATAGGCGCATCAAAGTTATCAACACTGCGCCTCCGGAACAACATCGGCTAATCCCGACATGCTCGGGTCGGCGGGAAGGTTTCTACGGTTTTCCGGTCGGGATAAACCTGTTCGTGCGCGGTAGGGAAAAATAATCCAACCGGTTTCAGGTTGAAGGATAATTGCCAACATAGATATTTTATTTCATTTTATTAACTTGTGGAGATGTGGGCATTTATGATTTTCGATATCTGGAAAATATGAATCAGAAGATCTTGATCTTTCGGATCGAAGTTGGGAAGCATTTTGTTTGGGAGTCTCACGTAATGACTGCGCGTATGATAAAATGCACTGTTCTCCTACCCGCACTTCGAGTAAGCAAAAACAGGCCAAGTGACGCATTTTCGGCGATAAAGACATCATCACTAGTCCTAATTTGGCAAACTATTGCTTTTTCAGATATAGTCTTCGCATATCCGCTATTAAAGATGAGTTGTGCGTGAGTTTGCCGACTTCCCGCGGGTGCAGACTTTCCGGAGAAAGCCATAAAAGGATAGGTTGATAATAAGCCGAGGATGCTTAATAATCTAGCTGAACAATGGCCGCACGTAACCCGTAAATCTAAATTACAGGTTTATCACCACCCCGAACCATACCCCAATTGTCAACTCGGCAGGATAAAAATTGATGATGCCTCATGCTCTAAATTCGCCACTCCGTTGGTACAGTTACCGTGGCGTAACGCCATGAACGGTGTCGACGAACGAAATCCGGGCTCTTGACGCCTTGGATTTAAAGTCATGAAGCTCCAGCAGGTTCGGTTCACGATGCACGTACCTTGTGCTTGAGCGGTTCCAAGAAACACACCGCCGCTCAAGACGATTTTGTTCGACACACAGTACCCTGGTTCCCCCAGACCGGGAGATACAGGCGCAATACATCCATTTCTTGGATTGGCCCGGTGACCGCAGTGGTACTACTGTGCCGTACAGCTGGGTAGGGGTGTGGTCGATGATAACAAGCATCACGGAAGTTATGTGTTTGCTGTGTCTGCTCGAGCACTTCACCAGGGACAATGCGACTTCCACTGCGTATATCCTACCCGCAGCATGTCTCGAGACTTTTTCCCCTCAGCCAAATTCACCGCACGTGCGGAAAAATAACGAACCAGCTGAATTCTTGAAGGTGGTGATTTAGCTCGCGATTAGTTGATGGGATGTGGCTGCAGGAGAGGCGGAACTAAATATTCACTTATCATAACCATAAAGTTAATGTGGTTTAGTTCTCGAACACGGCTGGCGACATCTGCCATTCACGCTCCAAAAGTTGCTCGAGTATCAAGCCACTTCTGCGCCCATCCATCCCTTGCGAAAGCGAACCTTCACACCGATGTCTTCCGGGAAGCGCAAGAGCTGAGAGGAAGGAAGGGGAGATGGCCGGTAACAATTGGAGGAAATTCCTCGGCGTATAGTACCCCTTTCTATTAGATCTACCGGCTGTCTGGTCCTATTCAATTTCTCTCTCGGAGGAGGAAGTGCATGGTGGAATCTATTCGCTGTTTGCAATGGGTGCCGGCGCTTATCTTGCCAAGAAGCCTCCTCGCCACTCCCTGTGGTGGATAGCCGGAGTACGGTACTTTGCCAAGAAAGTATACGATGGCTCGACTTCAATCTCCAAAGGGTTTTCAACAACCGCTTCGATGAGAATTATGACTCTATTAGGGGGATTTAGCAGGTCGGGGCATGATTCGCTAGGGTAACGAAAGTGGAACAATTCCCTCGCCCGAGCCTAACTACGCTCTAGCAATAGAGTCCATTTAGGTTGCCATTGATAGCAGTTATGAGCCGAATAAGGAAAGTGTACTAATCCTAATTAGTCCCCTAACAAAACCATTAACCTCTGTTTCATCCCTCATGGCTTTCTTGAAACCTAATGTTTTTTCACCATTTATTTTTTAATGATAAGCCTAGGATTTGAGCTTTAAATTCCACTTCAAAAATTCACTCCACCAATTCTTATTATCACCTGAGAATCATTCAAAGACTGGACACTTTCTAGGCGGGTATATAACCGCCTAGGTGGGTAGGGACGATCTTCGGGTATCCTCTCCAAACCCTTTATAGAGGCTGCCTTGGCCTAGCGAACCATGCCCCGGACCTGCTAAATCCCCCTATTAGATAATACAGTAGGTGACTCCCTACACGCTAATATACTGAGAAAATGAAAATACCTCGAGTTTCCGTGGAGATACTAGGGTTTAAAGGGAAAACTCTAGTTGGAGCTGGGGAAATCTCAATGCTGTTGGCGCAGACGGTTATTAGGTGTCTTCCAAGGGATCCACCTGTGATAGGGTCATGTTGGCATAAAGTTAATGGCAGAATATGGCCAAGCCTGGATGGATGGTTGCATGATCCGGCTACCGAGGTCTCCCCCACCGCATTAGTTAACGCGGGATTTGGACGAGTGAACAGAATGGGTAAATTTACAAGTATAATTATCCCGCAGACGAGAGATCAGGCAAAACACTTGTGCAAACACACTACAATAGCAAGTCTCCATTTGTTAATATTTAATATTGGCCTGGGTTTACTTGCGATGAAAAGATCCTTTAACCTAGGACCTCATGAAACCGCAACCATGCTTGTAACAAAGAGTCCTAGCTAGACCACCTCACGTGCGACCATGCATAACACTTTGCGCTAATATTATTATACAAAATAAATAGAGAAGATGGACACGAGTTTATCGCGAAAAGACCGACATGCCTGAGTGACAGGGGAAGAGGAAGTCGGCAAAACGTAAAAACCCGGGCGTTTGCATATTCCGGTTGGGTAACAGAAATTCACTTCTTGGTGAGAGAGAAGTACGGTACTCTCAGGGACAAATGTTGGCCGGGTTCATCAAAATGTAGGCCGGAACAAAAGTTCCGATGGTAACCAATATCACGACCACCATCTACGGGGGCCCGACGTGGTTGGCATCAGAGAAGATTCCAGGATATACCTTCTGTGAAAGATGAAAAATCGAATTGGGTGCTAGAGATTGGGGATTTTTGTTTATGGGGGAGGCACGGGATTGTACGGTAGGTATGATAGGTAACTCGATATCGGAAACTTTACGTATAAATTGGTGGTCGTTGTCCCCCTCCCCTCATGGTATGATTCAATATATAGCGGTTCACTATCATAGTCGGTTTCTCATTTGAAGTTTATTTACTGTGATCTGATCCCTTCCTTCTTTGTCCCGGAAGCAGAAAACTAGGATTTCTATCTCGGTATCGATATATCGTAGCCCAACGATGGCCCCAACCCCAACCCTTCAGCCATTCCACGTCCTCGAGGATACCAGGAGGGATGACAGGACATTGCCAGCCTTCACGGTGAGCACCACAAGAGGATTTCTCCCTAGGGACGTATGTACAGTACCCCCTCCCTCCCCCATCTATACCACCCTAACATGACCAACTCAGGAACCCATCACCGAACTCCCCCGCGAATTCGCTGCGCTAGATACCCTCCTCCACCGCTGCCCGATAAGGACCGCCACGGGTGGGCCCGGCCTCCTGGCCGAAGGCCTCTTGGGCGAGGTCGTCGAGCAGGAATTCCCGAACCTCGTCGAGCACGTAGCCAAGTACGCGAACGACCAAGCCATGCTGACAGCGCTATACAGAGACTACAGCTTTCTGGCGAGTTCGTATCTACTCGAGCCGTGCCATCACAATATGCTAAAGAGCGGAAGTTATGGGCTTGGGAGGAGTGTGTTGCCGGAGAATATTAGTATGCCGTTGGCGGAGGTTGCGAGGTTGTGAGTTCCCCCCGAGATATACATGTCCTTTTCTAAGGTGCTCTTTTTAATAAGTTTTTAGGACTGGTGAATTTCCCCAAATATAATAGGTTCTTTTCTTTTTTTGTTTTTTTTCTTGAGAGGGTCATGTTGGCTAATTGTTAGGTTTCCAACCGTTCATGGAGTATGCTGGTAGTTACGCACTCTACAATTACCGCCTTCTAGACCCCGCGCTAGGACTGACGTACGACAACCTCGCGCCGATCCGTGCGTTCGAGAAGGGTCTTGATAGGACCTCGTCCGAGGCGGGGTTCGTCCTCACGCACGTTGACATGGTGAAGGAGAGTCCCGAACTCGTCGCTGGAGCGGTAAACACTCTTAGAGGAGCGGAACACTACCTTGCGCACGGCGACAAGAAGTTGTTCAAAGATGGATTGAAGGAAGTGGTGAACAGCTTGACGAAGATTAACCGTGTTTTGGAAAGCAAGTTACTTACCATACATGTATCATGGATGATAACCCATGACGCTAATACATTGCCAAATACATGCAGGAATGTGGTCCCGCTCCAAACCCGGGGAATACGGCAACTTCCGGACGTAACGTCTTTTCCTTCCCTTTTCTCCTTCTCGAAACCTTAAAAAGATCTCGTTGAAAAAGGCTAACTCAATCGCAATGGCTAAAAAGGTTCATTTTCGGAATAACCGGACAATCAATGTTCCCCAAAGGCGTGATCTACAAGGGGGTCTCCGACACGCCATTCACCTTCCGTGGTGAATCCGGGGCTAACGATAGCATGGTTGATCCCCTCTCCTTCCTCCTTACGGTAAACTGCGACAATGTCTAACTTATCCCACTTCCACTTCAAAGGTCCCACTAAGCGACAACCTCCTCCAAATCTCCATGCCGGAAACCCCCCTAACGGATATATTGAAAGACTTTCGCAAGTACCGCCCGGGAAACCACATGGAGTTCCTATCATGGGTCAAGTCTTCCGCAGAGCAAGTCGGGATCAAGAAGCTCGCGCTTGAGGATGCGGAGTCCGCTAGTACTTTTTCTCCTTCCCTTTTTCCAACTTTTCACAGAATACTAATTAGGAAAAAGCACTCTACCTCCACGCCCTAGATCAAGTCCGCGACTTTCGCTGGCGTCACTGGAATTTTACGCGCGAGTACATTATCAAAAAGACCGCTCATCCGACAGCGACTGGGGGGTCGCCAATAATTAGAGTACAGTACTCCTTCCTTCCTTCCTTTCCTTTTTTCTTCCCTGTGTCCTGCGCAGTGCTAATGTACGCAAGCAGTGGCTACCAAACCAACTCAACGCAGTAATAAACGCCCAGATGGAGGTATTCAGGGCCCTTGAGGACCTCAACCACGCCACGCCCGCGGTCGCCGAAGTACGTGAGAAAGTCACGAAGCAAAAGGCAGACTTGACGAAAGAGGTGGAGAAATTTTGCGCTGAGAGAGGTGTTTGATGGGATGGAGGCGACTTTGTTTTTGTTTTTCTTTCTTTTCTTCTTCTATATCTTGAAGTGTATTTCTTTTCAGTGAAACGAACGAACGAATTCCATCACGACAAGTTATCCATCACCCCACCAAGGCAAACCCCATATGCCACTGAAAATCACTCGCCGACTATCGCCACCGACCTTCTGCCCCCGTAGATCCCCAATCCTACGGGGGGCTGTACCGTCCGCTACGCTACCGTACTTATAAGTCAGCTACCGTATCTGCGTGTGATACGGTACGCATCATGTAAGCCGAAAAAAGCCCACCCCATTGTTGGTTGGATGGTCCGCTGGTCATGTGTGCGAGTAGCGCCAGCCGGGAGAGAAAGAGTCAGCGCCCGCATCGGCGAAAAAAAAAAAAAAGAAAGGAAGATCACTTTCTTACCGTAGATTTGTGCGCCACGCGAGAAGTGCAATTATCGTGGCTGGAAGCGCCCACTGTATTAGTCTTGCGCTAATCTAGACTTTTGCCGGGTTCTACTCTATTACCGTAATCATTCCAGCGGGGGGTGCCGTGAGGAAGCTTTTGTTTTATCGGTATCGTACGTGATTGAGGAGGGGAAGGAGATTGGAGCGATATGGTATTACTCGTACATGGTTCGATTGGTATAGCGTTTTTTGTACTGTAATTACTGTACTTGTACAGTACTCTTACTGTGCCGAGGTTTGTATGATATTTTGTCATGGCATAAGTCATAGTACGAGTACTGCTATGGGGAGCTGGGTAAAGCGCTGGGCGGAAAAAGTCAGTGAAGTCGGTACCCCGACCGTCGTAGGATGCCGTTGTGAATAATCAGGGTGGTATAGCTCACAGCGTGATTCTCCTGTTTTAGCGCGTTTCTGATGGCCGGGGGATGGGTTCGTGAAGGAGGAGTCTGAGGATCCTTCCTTCATGAGATTCGCTGCAGGATCGATTCGGTTTGTGGATGTTGAAGAGACCTCCCGAATAATGTGGTTTATTAGGAGAAGGGAGGGCCAGGTTTCCGGAGAGTATATCGTATCATATCATACTTGCTTTGGCTTTCACTGGCCTGGGGCATCGGTATGGGTTTGCGGTGGGAGGGATTGTTCCGATAAGTAATGAGGATCTCATACGAACGGTAGGCTTGCCACTGATAAAATATGCAAATTGGGGAATAGAGGAATAAAGCGTAGTACAGTTTTGTTTCACGTCCATTTCCTTCTCTAGCAGAAAATAAACACGGTAAAGGTCTCAAATGCCACACAAGTTGTATGAAGTATTCCTTAGATTCCATAGCGCCCTCAGATGACATAGAAAATCAATTGTTCGGGGGGTTTTGGTTGGGTGCAATAAAAAATTTATCATTAATATAATTCTTTATAAAATAGATGAAACAAAAGAAAACAATAAGATTTAAAGTGGGGATAATGGAAAATAAGAGGTACTTTTTAAAAAAAAAAAAAATAAGAAAGAGAAAAATTTAATCGAGATCCTGCACCTAAAATTATATCATATCAATTGTATAGAATATTGAGCTGTTAATCACAAGAAAGTCATATTGAAGGACAAGAAAGTAGCTTATTTAAGTGTCTAAAGTACATAGTTAGCAGTATCACTAGCAGTTAACTGCAAACTACAGGGGAGTTCTTCTGAGTATATCAGTATTCCCAAAGTGAAAGTACTCAACTTATCATATCATGATATTGAATATACTTTGATTAATAATATTATTAACTTTCCTATCATATTTAACTATTGAAGATAATCAATCTTAATAGCTTAGCCAATCTCTAACTTGCAAGTTAAAAGAATCTAATAAAACTTGACATATTTTATCCTAAATAATCACAACACTTTTTTGTGTCAGATTTAAACCCTTTTAAGTTTAGTTTTTATATCTTTTTTAACTTTTTTCTTGTTAGATGTAAACTCTTCAAATTACTCATATATCTTGTACTAATAGATTTAAGTATACTTTAATTAGTTGTAAATTTTTGCCTTAATGTTAGGACTGCTCCTCAACTCGAATCACTTCTAGGATATAGTCATTCAACAGGTAATGAGTCTTATCATAAAAGTAATATGCATGATTACTTCAATCTTTTTCAGTATTGTAATTATCTCGGAATAGCCTCCTGTTACTCAAGAAAATACCCTTATTTTCTTAAGTACTTCTAACAGAAACTATTGTTCTCTATATTTGTCGTACTTTTCCCAGAAGGGAGATATGTGAGATATGAATATGATATAGTATTCATAAAGATATATACTAGGAAATAACTTACGTAGTTTAATCTAATTTTATTTATACTTGTACTACCAATATTGGCATACAATAAGTCCCCACTGGTATAGGATTAGCACTAACTGAACTACTACTATTCTTGAACTAACTAAATCTCCAGCCCCATACATCAAACACCACTATGTTATGCCTGCACAGCAGCTAAATACAAGGCTATTAACAGTAAAGAAAATCCTTCCTGTGATGCATCCATAAATCCTCTAGTATAGACCCAACTGCAGCTATTATTTGGGGACAAAATTAACTAGCTGTCAATGGCTGGAAAATCTTCGGTGATGACAACCACACTCCCCCACCAATCCACTATCATGAAAATCCAAAAGAAAATTAAAAAATATAAATACATAGTAGAAATTAATATTTAGTATACAATCCATCAGCCTTAATAATTGCTTCCACCCTATCCACCATTGATCCTGCCAAAGTATCAAAAACCTTTGGGTCCAGAAGTTCCCAACAATGAGCGATAGCCTCCTCTATAATTTTTTTGATCTCATTGACAAGGCCCTTCAGGAGAAACAGCTCAGGATAGTGCTTATGAAGCTTGTCTTTCACCAGAGATCAAACATTTTCAATTGAATTGAGGTTTGGTGAATATGGAGGAATTTCCATCAGAGAAATTCCATTTCTCCTGAGCCATCTCCTGAAAGGCAAGTGAGTCTTAGCATTGTCAATGATTAAAAATACCTCTTCCTCTCCAACATGCACCTTGATATCCTCCCATATTCCTGGAAAGTCATATTGATCATAAACATCAATAATTGACTTTCCAGTCACTTCACCTCTAGCAGAAGTAGAATCAGGAAAAACAGGTAAAAAAAGACCATGAGTTTGACCATAGAAACAACTAGTCATCATCTGACTAATCTTTCTCTCTCCTTTCCTAGCAGTAGGTTCAACACAATCCTTATTCCACTTTTCTTTTGGACATCTAAATACCCATTTTCTTCTCTTTAGGTTGGTGGTGGGGTCCAATAGTGGTGAATACCGTCTGGAGGAAGTGCTACGGATGGGATAGGGGGCGAAGCCCCCTCCTCCGTCACATTCCCCTAGAGAGTAACATATTTAAGAGCGATACAATTTATCAATTACATTAAAGAACACGCAATTCCCATCCATCCATTCCGCATCGGCCCAGTTCGCTAACCGAGGGTCATGGTTAAAGCAACCTATTACCGGGCGACCGTGAACTACCTGAGTTTTCCGACAGTACTTGTCCGTACTGGTGAACTCAGCCTGTGAACCGAACCAACATTTAAATACATCCATACGCGTAAATTCCTCATCATCAAAAACCACATACTTGTAAGTCTCGTAATACAAGGAAAGATTAAAGAAACCCGAAAAGAAAATATGAGACCCTAAACTCCGCGCCCATTCGTTCTTACCAGTCCTTGTAGGACTGTATAAGATCAAGGCCAAAGGTCGTAAACCAAGGATACCCCTACATGAATCATCACGATACAATGAAAGGAAATGATTACACCAAACCACTAAATCCAAAGGCAAATCCCAACTCTCAACAGGATAAGGAGATCTATATACATTTTCTATGGTCGGATAATGTTTCTCCGCTACCATGTGAACGTTATTATAGCTACTGAGATAAAGTCTCGGAGCCACGCTACGGACGTTCTCGAGAAACTGTTTTTTTCATCCTGTCAGCCTATGGTCCCCGGGACATGTATATCCTCCCCCAATGATTCTAATCCAAATGAATGACAACGAGGAATATACAAGGTCTTTCTGTATTGACCGCCTGTTCGGAGGGCTGGTGAGGGGGTTTACTCACTTGATCCTTAGTTTCTGCAGTGAAACATCCAAGCAACACATCTCTATCCTTAAATTTTCCTGTACCGGATCCCCCACAATCTTCCCTCTCGAAATCCTGTACGAGCACCCGTCCTTCCTTCCGGCAATAATCTCACGCTTTTTCAGGAGTTCGGTAAACAGTTTGGAGGTTTGGATGATAAACGCGGCCCCCGAATTCCACGTTGAGACATCGCATGTTTGTGGTTTCGAACCGTTTTCCGTCTACTCGACGGATGAGAGCGTGATAATGAATTCCTCCATCTGCGTGACGTTCCTGTCCAAGTACGAGGTGAAGACCATGTTGTCTGCAAGCGTCGATAATCGGTTCAGGCGGGAGATCATCACAATGGGGGTACGTGACCAGCAGGTATTTTGTACAGATTCTTCCGTGAGGAATGGGTTGGACAATTGTTCCGAGGTCAGGTGTTGCCACCAGTCGGGAACTCGGTTCGGGTTGCGGGGTGGGCGACCAATCGATCGGAGTTGAGGTGGTGATGATGGCATCGGGGTCCTGTCTATCATGTTGAAGAGTACTTTTACGGCCTCGCCTTCCGCCTTCCGTTTCCTCCATTGGGTCGGCGTCGGTATCGGTGATGGTTTCCGTTCGAGGAGAGGTAGTTCGCTCATCTTGCTTGGTGTGTCAGGATCTGTCGTAGGGCATACAGAACATTCGCTATTATTCGTAACAGGAGGAGGAGTCTCAGGAAGTATCGGGGAAGTATGGAGAGAGAGGTTTTGTGTTTTATCGATGGGAGTCATGGCGGTGGTGGTTTGATTGTTGGAACGAATCCTTCACAACGGCGGAAATGTGTCCTATTATATCCTAAGCGAGGTACATACCGCTCCCAATGGGTGTCACATGCTCCCACTCCGACTATTTAATATTATAGTCGGAGTGGGAGTGGTGGGACTCTACGCCAAGGTTTCCTCTTTTGGTTGTTTGGTTGTTGTGACAGGGGTCTGTATGCGCATTTGCATCATAAATATTCACCACTCCCACTCTTCCCTTTTTTTTTTCTTTTTTTCTTTCGCGCACACACACACACACACACACACACACACACACACACACACACACACGGAGCGAGAAAAATTTCGGAAATTCCGGTACAGTTAGCGGGGCATTCCTGCAACCACACCAAGTTTATTTTTGTTTGTGTACACATCATCTTTTTATCCGGTACAACCAGAATTTTCACTCAAAGAACTACTCCACCCCCTCACTCACGATACTCCTCCCTTAGGTGGTGTGGCCAATCACAGCCCTCCATCCTAAGGCTTCATTTCCTTTGAGAGTTTAGGACGCTGGCCATAAGACCATCCTACTCACTCACCATGACCTCCCAACCGTCATCTCCGGCCCTACCGCACCTCCCCCACTCTCCTTCTCCCTTGGGAGGACCCAGAAGCCCTACCAAGAGCCCAAGGATCAATTCCCCCAGCCTCCTCCCGCCCGGCTCCTCACAAGGAGTTTCCCTCAACTCAACCCTTCCCATGTTCGCCACTATTAGGCACCAAAGGGGCTGCCCCAACGCCTTAATCAACGTGGGAAACAGAATCGTGGCCAGGGGAAGCACTTTCCCCGAGGTCAGACAGGAACTAGGTTGCACCAATGCATGCTACGTCCTCCTCACCGGAAACACGAAGGCCCCGACCATAGCGGCACCCCAACCGGAGCTCCCAGGGTTCAGGACCACACTCCAGAAAATCTTTGGCAATGAAGCGGTAGATGCAGCAGACACCGACGCCTTAGCTTTCCTGGCAGCAGCAGCCTCCTCATACCACCCGTCGCAAGAAAGCCCTGTACCAGTATCCCAGATACCACAGGTACCCGCCTCCTCCCCACCGCTGGTCGAAACGGACGAACCCATGGACCAGTCTCAAGACATCGGGGTAACCGAAACGCAAGCCACACAAGATGTAGCAATGTCCCTGGGAAACG